ATGGATTTGGTTATAGCTAAATTGGTCCCTCCCACTAATTTTGTTCAATTAGTGTTCATTAATTTTCTATCATAAATAGTTGGGTTAGATTGTTTAAATGACCTCATATGCCCTACACAACCATGTGCACCCCTGACTAAAATTGGATAAGTTTATCAAACCGATCGATGTATGCTATGAAGTCGATGACGTTTCAGAAACCAATCTAGGGCCAAATTACCTTTGATTGATCTTGTGATACAATATAATGTAATTTGGAAGGCCTTTTAGGGAAGAATTTGATGGTGAGGATTGTGGAGTAAAACCTGCTTTATCAATGGTGGCAATCTAACAACCAGAACAATAGGAGTATAAGACTCTACACCATCATCAGCAACCAATCGCAAAATAATAATTGACGTTGCAACACCAATGTTCAAATATGGGACCAAAAATCAAGACACATAGGAAGAGATAGAAGCTAAGCACCAAAGTAAACAACTCGAGAATACAAAGAGGAAGACATTAATATGGAAAGGAAAAGTAAAGAGATGGATGAGGTTTACATAATGGAAGAAGATAGGCGAGTGACAACTAATGCTCATGTGAAGAAAAATGACCAACATACTCTTATATGAATATGGAAAGGAAAAGTAAAGAGATGGATGAGGTTTACAATAAATCAAGATTAAAAATGACCAACATACTCTTATATGAAGGACACATGACATCACTTACCTAACCGACAAGAGATGGATGGGGTTAGTGGCATGACCAATTCATTAACAAAATTCATCAATCAAGGATAAACTTTTAGTAAATGAAGTCGAAGAACGAGAACCCAATAATCGTCATACCGCATGCATGAAAATTATGATGTACTAATATTGAGACTTAAAGGGGTATTCATGGTGGTTAAACAAAAACTGAAATTATTAAATCGAAGCCTAAACCAAAAAAATTGATCAACTAGTAAAATATTAATTATAATTAATGAACTCTAGTTATCTTTCATAAATATTTAAATTATATTAAATGAACTTTATCATTTTCATAAATATCTCAATTGATTGGGTTGCATTGGTTATATAAATGGACATGGTTGTATTTGAAATATACCATATATATATATATATATATATATATCTATACTATCTTATAAAGCATTTGGCTAAAACTCTTAAAAACTCTTAAACCCGTTAATCCTTATCCGATTTCAGCCCTATCCGATTTCATCCCATATCTGAATTCGTGTAACTAATGAAACGTCCCAACCCACACATTGCATGTAATACATATATTTCGTATCAAAGGAATACATATTCATACACATCTGGTCCCATAATACAAGAAACTATCATGACCAAATACAAGGTCCAAAAATTCAAAATACAATCTTGTACTAATCATCAAAACTGTGYATCAAAAGCAATTCTTCAACCAAAATGCATGTAAGAAAAGCATTACATCTTTTCCTTTCCCTTACCTTCCACATGTCCTGCAATACATATTTAAAATCACAAAACGAAAGTTAGACTGAAGAGTCTAGTAAGATACCCTATTCATGTCATTGCAGGGTGAAGGATCACCAAAACTTTATAAAACAACTATTCATATATATACAATATATGAATACGCAAGAAGTTAATATCAAATCATTTTCCACTTTTATGCTAACCACGTAGCTATACAAATTTCATATCTTTAAATCAATCGGGTTCCACACAATGCCACTTTTAAAACCTTTTAATATCAAATAAGGTTTAAATAAATATTCAGGCCAAACCTGACATTCCCTTCTCAATAACATCCAGACTATGATTTCCAATAAGAACCTTGATCTTAAATCTTTAAATCACAAAGAAATAAAGATTCCAAACCACGGTAATCTTAAGGGATATAATAGAAAGAGTTATATAATACCACACACAGACAATGCCACCCTTATATCAAATGTACACCTCTCCTGATATGCCACCCTTATCCCATGGTACACCTCTCCTTGACATGCCACCCTTATATCAAATGGACACCTCTCCTTGATATGCCACCTTTATCACTTCATCAAAACATTTATAAAAATAATTCTGAATAGACCGCAGTCATTGGAATTGTTATCAGTCTGAAAACATTTATATCAAAACTTCATTTTTATGATAAAATAATAATTTTTTTTAAAAATACAAAACATCATCTCAAATCTAGTCAACAAATCCGGACAATAAACCTCTCAAGCTTTGTCA